GCAAGCACGAGTGGCTTGCATCTTCAGAAGTGGTTTGCTTGAACGCTTACACTGTTCCGATGCGATTCCTCGGGCGCCGTCCGTATTTATGCACCGCTTGCATAAATACGAACGCGCCCGAGGAATCGCATCGGAACAGTGTAAGCGTTCAAGCAAACCACTTCTGAAGATGCAAGCCACTCGTGCTTGCGAAACGTCAGGGCGGTCTAAAAACCCGAAAAACCCATTAGTTTCATTACAGTATGGGCAAGGTGAAGTAGTTTCCAGTTCAATTTACTTGAATTTCAATGGCAGCTGAAGCATCTAAACTATCTTCTCGATTTTCTGCACGGCACTGGTAGGTGCCACCGTCTTGTTCCTGGATTTTGGTTATTCGCAGCGAGCTGGTGGAACCAACTAAGGCAAATCTACTATCTAAATCACTGAAAAATATTTTTTGTTGGCAAAGTTTCGGACTTTCCACGCAATTCCTACTTCATATCAATGGCAAATCCATCCTTCAGCCATCTAATGGTAGGATTTGGGTTTCCATTCGCAGCACAATCCAGCGATATGTTCTGGCCCTCAACTGCGATGGCCCCTTTTGGTTGAGCAATAAAAGTCGGAGGCGCAACATGTGCAGCTTGTTCTTGGTCCCCATTTATGTACAAAATCGCTTTGTTGCTCAATATGTAGGAATTGAACCCTGAAGCGTTACATCTGCAAAATCGTGAAGTTTTCGGCGATTCGGCTCAGAATCTGGGGGAAATGAACGTGCCTATATGATCCCTGATCGCTTTCCACAACTTCATCGATTTCCAGAGCTCCAGACGGCAAAATCGTCATTCGAAGATCATCAATCTGGAGTGGTCGTTCGTCTTTCAGCCATCGTATTCGTGGGGTTGGAACGGCGTCAACGTAGCAGGAAAAATGGGCCTTTTGTCCAACATACACAGTTATATCGTGCGGTTCCTCGTGGAAGCCATTCAATCCTAAAAGGATTTTTTGTAGCCAAAACATCAATGGGTCTAAATAAAGAACCAGCAACTTTCCTAATCCTAGACTATCTAACATTTGATCAGTTGAGTGCCTTTTCGAACATACTGATCAGGTTTTCTCATTAAGGCACCTTTATGGCGTGTATAAGTCAATAATCCTAGATCAAAATGAGGTGTTGAATAAAAATCATGCAAAGGTGCCATAAACGGAAATTCCATAAGTAACGAAAGATAAGAGAAAATCCATTAGAACTGGGTAGAAGTGCTGGGCAATCGTGATGGATAAATCAGTGCCAAGGGCGGAAAAAGTCTAGCAAAACAGTGCAAACGTGTTGCATGCGCATATTGCCGTTGGCTAATTATGTATATCAGGATTGATTTATTGCGAGCAATTGCCAATTTTCAAAAATTTGTGACCAGGAATTCAGAGTAAAGTCAATAATATAAACTGTTCTCTACTAAGACCGAAACTTTCCTAATTTAACTCTCTGGAGCAAAAAGTTTCTAATAACATTATTACCAGCTCCATATTTTATCCGATAAAGTTGGGAAGCAAAAAGTTCTTTTTTAATTTTCAACGGCGCTATGCAGGAAACACCGATGTACCAATTTGTTTCGGTTTTTCTAGGCCGAAGTTTTTTAATTCAGTTGGAGCTGCGGCGCCAAAATTTGAGAGCTTTTTCAAAAGCCTCGTCGTGATGGAACTTTTTGTCTGTTCTTAAAACACAAAAAGTTGGACAACTTTCGAATCGTTTCGCATGCAAATGCACCTGCTTAAAACCAATTTCGAACCCTACAAACAGGCAATTCAG